TAGGGCATTGAACGAGATTGAACTTACTCCCTTAGCAACAGAGGTGTCTCTTGGTTTGTAATTGTGCATGTCAAATCTCTTATGTACTTTCTTAATATAGCTCTTTTGTGATAATCCAAGAATATGATCTCGATGTATCAGAATTCCCAATACAAAATATGTGTCCCCAAGATCTTTAATCTCAAATTTCTTTGATAGAAATCTCTTGGTTTCGTGCAACAAACCTATATCGTTACTAGCAAACAATATGTAATCGACATATAAAACTAGGAAAATGTGTTTACTCCCACTGAACTTGTGGTATATACAATCATCAACGACATTCATCTCAAAACCAAACGAGATGACAACTTGATGAAATTTGTAATACCATTGACGGGAAGCTTGCTTATGCCCATAGATGGATTTCTTTAATTTGCAAACCATATTCTTTACATCTCCCGATACAAAGTTTTCTGGCTGCACCATGTAAATCGTCTCATCAATGTCACCATTGAGAAATGTAGTCTTTACATTCATCTGAAGCAACTCAAGGTCAAAATGTGCCACTAATTCCATTATTGTCCTAAAAGATTATTTCGATGAAACCAGAGAGAAAGTCTCGTTATAATTAATGCATTCCTTTTGAGTAAAGTCTTTTGCAACAAGATGAGCCTTATATTTCTCCACATCACCCTTCAAATCCCTCTTGGTTTTAAATATTCATTTGCAACCAATGGACTTCGCACCTTCAGGCAAATGGACGAGTTCTCAAACGTCATTGTCTTTCGTGGACTTAATCTCTTTATTCATGGCATCAATCCACTTTTGAGAATTAGTACTTTGCATGGCTTGATTGATTGGATCATCTTCCACCAATCCAATGACATCCTTATGTTCTTGGAGAAATATGATGTAATCATTAGAAACCGCACTTCTCCTTTCTCTAGTGGATCTCCTTAATGGCAATTGTTCTTAAGGTTGTTGAGTTTTATCTTCAAGAATAACCTGTTGACCTTGCTTCGGGAGATTTTTAACATTGTTTTGTGGTTCTGGTATTGCTTCTTGAACAACATCAGGAATAAGAGCCTGATAATTGCCAATAACAATCGTAGGAAGAGAAATGGATTCCTCTTCAAAGACAAAGTCTCTAACCTTATCTCTCTCCCCCCAAACTCAATATCCTCAAAGAACCAGACATTTTCCGTCTCAAAGAAGGACCTGATTGTGGGATCATAAAATTTGTACCCCTGAGACCATTCATAGTACCCAACAAAATAACTGCTAATTGTTCTTGAGTCCAGTTTCTTTTCATTTGGCCTATAAGGCCTTGCCTTAGCTGGACAACCCCCAAATGTGTAAATGCTTCATACTGGGCTTTTTGCCCATCCATAATTTATAAGGAGTTTTAGCCGCTGCCTTAATTGGAACTCTATTAAGGATGTAAGCTGCAGTTTTTAGTGCCTCTTCCTAGAGTGAATCTGGTAAGATAGTATGACTAATCATACTGCTCACCATATCCCTTATTGTTTTGTTTCATCTCTCAGCAACATCATTCATAGAAGGACTTCGTCTACTGTGGGACGATACCGCACTCCTCTAGGAATTTGACAAATGGCCCTAGACATTGTTCATCTGATCCATCATATCTGCCATAATATTCACCACCACGGTCAGATCTGACAGCCTTAATTCTTTTGCTAAGTTGATTTTCAACTTCAGTCTTAAATGCCTTAAACACGTCCAGTGATTAAAACTTCTCATGAATGAGATAAAGGTAGCTATAACGTGAGAAATCATCTGTGAAAGTAATAAATTATTGTTGACCATTCCCTGAAGCCGTAGGGAATAACCCACAAATATTCGTATGTATTAATTCTAAGGCGTCTGAAGATCTATTAGTACCTAATCTTCTTATGTTTGTCTGCTTCCACTTAATGCACTCAACAAAGACTTGAAAGTCTGACAAATTAAGGGGATTAAGAATTCCATCTAACACAAGCCTTTCAATTCTTTGTTTAGATATGTGCCTTAAACGCTTGTGCCCGAGTGAAGTAGAATTCTCATTGGTCAATTTACGTTTTGTAGCAAGGTTTCATTAAAAAGGCAACCATATCAAGTAAATAAAGGTTATCATAAAAAGACAAAGAACCAGTACCAATAATATTTGAATTCAAAGAAAGACTAATCTAATTATTTCCAAATGAACAAGAATAACCAAATTTGTCCAAAATAGAAATAGAAACCAAATTCTGTCTAAAAGACAATACCACATATGTCTCTTTCAAATCCAAATAATATCTAGTTTTTTATAATAACCTACTTGTCCATATAGTCTCAACCTCCACTGATTTGCCATTGGCCACATAGATGAATCTTTCAGCATCATTTGGCTTTCGGCAGCTCAGACAACTCTACATAGACACACTTATGTGAGTAGTAGCACCAGAATCTATCCACCAAGTGTGTTTTGGTACTGGAGCTAAATTAGTCTCGTAACAAAGCAAAGTGAGAAGCGTACCTTTCTTTGCACGCCAAGTGTGATATTTAGTACAGTTTCTCTTCATGTGTCCAGGATTCTTGCAAAAGTAACAGTCAAATTCCTCATCTTGTTTCTTTCGCTGTTTCTTTTGGGCTGGACGACTCGCAGCTTCTTTATCCTTCTTCCTTTTCTTGTTCTTGTCCTTAGAGGTACTTACCAAGTGAGCACTTTCAGTCTTTTCTTGCTTCAACCTTTCCTCTTCTTTCACACAATGAGAAATGAGCTCATGAAGAGACCATTTGTCTTTTTAGTAGTTATAACTAACCTTAAATTGACTGAATTATGCAGGAAGAGAAATCAAAACTAAATGCACAAGTAAATCCTCAGACAGCTCCAGCTTTAGTGCCTTTAGTTTTGAAGTAAGATGAGACATCTTTATGATGTATTCCCTTATATTTCCTTTTCCTTTATACTTTATTGAAATCAAGTTCGACAGAATCTTACTTGCTTCAGCCTTATCATTTTTATCAAAACGCTTTTCAATTTCCTCAAGGAACTCCTTGACAGTAGTTACCTTTTTGGACACAGCGCCCTTGAAGATTTGTGGAATTCCACGCTTCATGATCATAAGGTTCATGCGATTTGAACGATCTAACTTCTCACAGTCCCATTTTTCCTCATTGGAACTTTTGTTTGTAAGAGCAGTGGATTGTCCAATCCTTAGCGCAAGGTCTAGATCCATGCAGCCAAGAACGATCATGACGGTCTCTTTCCATTCCTTAAGGTTGGTCTCATCTAACATGGGAATAGAATCGATGTTGGCAGATATGACAGAAGCAGACGCGTTAACTCAAAATAGAACAAACCAATACGTTCACATAAGTTCCATATCAAACTTATATAAATTTAAATAATGGTAAGGCCATCACAAGATGCCTAGCACAACATCAACATTTAGTCTTTGAACAAAAATATTAACTTATAAGTGGTACTCTTGGTGTAATAATCAAAACAATAAATTCTGTCAAACAATAAGCCTTTTTTTGGACCGACTTATTGTTCACATGGAGTACCTAATAATTGTCACATATTTATTATCACATGTGTGCATGTAATTCGGCCAAATATTGATCTTCCTTTGGGTCGGTCAATATCCACATGAATTACATACCCACAACCATCTTGATATTCTAAAATAAATTGACTTACACAAAAGAGACTACTTTAGTAGCATGTTGTTTCAATCATTTTATTTTAAAACATTAAACATCTATAAAAAAGAACTTGTGCCAAAATTTGAATTTAAATTTCTTAAAAAAAGGAAAAAAAATCAGTCAAAATTAACAAAAGTCAAAGTCAACATGGTCGGGTTGGACCGGGTCGGGTCAACCCAACCCGGATCCTAAATGGAGCAAGTGGACCATCTTTTGACAGCCCAAAAAAAGGGCCATGGTCCAATATCTTCTTTAAGGCCCAACTTTGACTTCACATGTTGACCTCCCACCAGATTGGGCTTAGCAAGTTTTGGGCCAGTTTACTCCTCAAGACCACTGAAACATTGACTCAGTAAAAGAAAAACTGATGAGGAAACTAATTCCTCTCTGAACGTGAGTGAAAAAAAAATGCCCACGAGGCCACGATCCTTTTTTTTTTTTTTTTACTGCAAATGTACATGACCATGGATGTACTGAATCCAAAATTCAGAATTCAACAGAGAACCAAAAACAACATTCATATATACATATACATATATATATATATATATATATAAATCTGTATCCATAGACATAAAACACAAGGTCGTTCACAGGTTTGAATTCAAAAGCAATATTCAAATTTCAAACCAAATAAAATACTATATGGCCCAAAATCATAGATCAACAAAAAATTGAGATAATATTTCTCAATGAAATATCACTTGTTATAATAATTTCTATAGATAAACACTTTCATCACACTAAGATCTTACATGTTAAATCATAAAAAAAAATAAAATAAATGCGGAACCGTACATGAATCTATAAGAATGGATGTGATTCTTAAATCTTGTAGTTCTTAATATTTTAAATTAAAGTGTATGAATTATCTAGAGAATGAAGATCTCACTTTTTTAATGATGAGATGTTAAAAAATTATCATACCATTTATATATGCACGTACTTTTTTTATTTTTAATTTTAACCCATCATAAATTAAAAATTAGACATTATTTTTACACATAAAAGTTCATACTTTATGAGATGACTTAGACCCATTTAACTTTAAATCTAATAAAATCACTTCTAATTTGGGCACAATTATTATTATTTATATATATATACAAGTCCAAAAAATCTAAATACACCAGTCACGTGGTTGCCTAATGCCTCCCAATCCGTGTCTTAAATTGTTAATTTGATTACTTTTATTAGTTGTTAGATCTTAATTGTTAATACGCGGGCAAAAGACCAATTTCTTTTGTTTACTTTTATTAGTTGTTAGATTTTAATTATTAATATGCAGGCAAAAGACCGTTTTCTTTTTGTTTCTTGTTATCCGTTTGAGAAAAACACAGAGGCAGTGTTAGTAATACTTTCAGTCTCACCATCTTCAATCTCACATAACATACAGCAATGGCAGAAGTGTTCTCCCTTCGCGTGCTTCTTCTCGGCGGGACCCACAGAAGAGCTTCTTCTTCTTCTTCCTCTCGCAACTCACTGAAGCCGCCCCTGGCGTCAGTTTCTGCTTCCAGAAAAGGTTAGATTTCGAATCACCATTTTTTATGCCCAAAACAACCATAAGAAAAAAGATTTATGGTACTTGTGATGAATTGTAACATGGGGTAGCGTCAAAGTTTTTGTCTTTTGATTCTTTCTCTAAACCAAAACAAGAACAAAGGTTTAAGGAGTGTGTGTGAATTTCATTTTGGAATTTGTTTGCCTAGTTGGGTCATTGTTATTTATGTAATTCACCAAAAAGGATGTGTTTTTTCAGGTCCTCACACCCATTCGCACAAGACCCAGAAGCTGAATTTGGAGGTTTCACCTCACAGAGCTGGTATTCTCTCTCTCTGGAACAAAATTGGGGGGTTTTTTTTTTTCATATTTAGCTAATTTGATTATTGAGACGTGACATTTTATTGGAAATTGACTTTTTTATGAACTCTTTTAAGTGTGGTAAACGAGCTGGTAGTTTTTCTCTCCACCTGTATAGGCAAAGGCCTTAAGTCCTTTGTGGTGCTACATAGAACATGACAATTATTCTATGTACCAATATTTGTGACAGTATAAGAGCAAAGAATTTAGTTATCACATACAAGTGTTACACTTTTCTAAAATCATTGTATCATAAAACAGATATCATGTTATACCCCCTTACTGTAGAACCAGTCCTTTGTGAAGGACTAAACAGAAACTCTAATATATTTATATACGTTTGTATGCATATATATGTGTGTGCGTGCGCGCGTGTTGGTATGTTGTCTTAGGGCAAAAGAGAATTCACATGACATTGTGTTGGAAACTCACTTTTAACTCTTTTAAGTGTGGCAATTTGTCTTTGTTTACGTTTGGGATTTCTTAGTGAGGATTTGGTCTTTGGATTATAGTGTCTGCGGTGAGGCTGATGAGAATAGAGTTTGGTGGGGCCTTTGCTGACCTTCTAAATGAGAAAGGGAAGGGCTCTGGTGATAATGAGATGGCATATGTGGAAAGAACTCTCGGTTTCTGCACAAGGGATTTAGATGATCGTGATCTTAGATTGGTTAGCACTCTCTTTCCATTTCTCTATTTTGGATAAAATATGCATACAATATGTAACTCGAGTTTAAAACGTGTGTGACATAGTTGTTTCTATTGCAAGTATGCCTTAGGTGTTGTAATTTAGTTCTATCAGATGTCCATGGCACTGAATTTCCTGTTTCCTTCCGGCCCCCCACCCCATTTTTTTTTCTTTTTTTTGACTGCATAGGTTACGGACATTGTTGGTGGGACGATTCGATGGAGGAGATATCTCGATCATTTGATCAGCTCGCTTTTCCACGATGAGAAGGCATTTAGAAGAATGGAACCGCTGCTTTTACAGGTAGCATATTCTTCTATGCTCTCGGCAAGCTTATTTACTGAGTCTCCCATTGATTCATTTCCTTTTGGTGCTTTTCCTTTTAGATTCTCAGAATTGGTTCCTACGAGATTGTGAAGCTAAATATGCCAGCATATGCTGTTGTAGATGAGGTAGAATTCTCTCTCTTTTACCCCAACAAATTCATTTCTCTTCAACGTTTCGCTTTAAGAGATTTTTAGAATAAGTGTGGCAGTCATGTTTTTCTGTTAGGCCTTCATATTCATAATTTAGTTTTTTTTTTCTTTTTTTTTTCTCGAGTAAATATCCGGAATTCATGGCATCATTTCCAAATTGCAACTTTGAATGTGCCAAGTTCTTGCCCTGATTTAGCTTTGGTGCTTCTTTAATCCCCGAGCCTTTTGAATGAATAGTTTCTCAAGAAAGATATGATAATGACATCCTTTTTGCTCCCTTTTTTTAATTATACTTTTATTTGGGTTGGGATTTTGTTGTATAATGCAGAATGCGAGGCTTGCAAAAGTTGCCCTTCGACCAGGTGCTGGTAACATGGTCAATGCGATTCTACGGAAGCTAGTTTTGCTTAAGGTTTTGAATTATCAGTTAGTATTATCCACAGTTATGTAATTTCTCTAAAGGATTTTTTTTAACCTTCAATTTTGGATTGCAGGAAACTGATTCTCTTCCTGTACCCAAATTGGAAGGCGATGATCGTGCACAAGCACGTGCTCTTGCTATATTACACTCTCATCCTGTTGTAAGTTCATTATTGAATGAGACTCATACGCTCGTTTATTTCATAGGTTTTAACTACTATTCAAACCTTTTTGCTACAATGTTTTCTCTCACAAAAATTTGAATTCTATTCAAAACCTATGAATCAAACGGGCACTTATCTTGTGTAGACAAAACCTTGAATATGAAAACTTCTAAGCCGTCCTTCTGTTGTTACTATTATTATTATTTTTTTATATTTTTTATTTAGTTGCTCATTTACTGCAAAAGATTTGACTAACTTGATCTTAAGATTAAACGTCTTGTAAAATGTAAAGTAGAGAAAATGGGTAAAATGAAAATAGAAATTGTTTTCTATTTTTCCTTATTCTGGAATAGGGAACTTAGTTGTGATTGTTGTCAGCTGTTACTATATTTTCCAGTGGATGGTCAGGAGATGGAATAAGTATCTAGGGGAAGAAGAAGCAGTAAAATTGATGGAATGGAATAACAGCGATCCTAGTTACAGCTTAAGGTTTGCGGATTTTCTCACCTCATCAACTTTCTTCTTTGTGTATGATATAAATTATCTTATACTACTTATGGTGCTAATGTCAGGGCAAACAGTGGTAAAGGTATCTCAAGAGCCGATCTTGTGGCCAAGCTTGATTCATTGAAGGTGCTAAATGTGCACTTGATCCTTTATTTTTGGGGGTTCTTTACCTGTTAGTTTTGACTACTTTACCTGTTAGTTTTGACTAAGTGTACTTTTATTTTTTTATTTTTTCTTGTCAATTAACAACAGGTCCCATATGAGCTTTCCTTACACATGAGTGATTTCGTCCGAATCAAAACCGGGTTACAGGTATGAGTGTAAATGGTATAACTTTGTGCTTTGTTAGACACATATATAATTGAAAATGTGAATTCAAGTTATAGGACTTTGTAGAGTAAGAAGGGACTAGAATAATGCCCTCAACCTCTTTTCCTTTAAATGTTATTAGGTCCTTAAAAGCTACTTGTTATCATAATTAAGCACTTTCTAATTTCAGAATGTGATACAAGCTGGTTTGCTGAAAGAGGGCCTATGCTCAGTTCAGGATGAGAGTGCAGGTTAATTTTCACCTCAACTAATTAAAGTGCGTTTGGAACAAGGTTCCGTGCCATGGTTCGTAGCTCGTTATAGTGTTTTCTCTCACAAAACACACGTAAATCGAGAATAGTTCTGAACCATGATTCTGAAGTCATAAACCAAACGTCCTCTTAGTTTTCTACTGCTTAGACTGTAGATTATCATTTTTGTTGTTTTCTTAACATGTGGTCCTTGCGTATCTCATTTGGAGACTAATGTTTTTATATGTGTTTCCATGACTTGTAAAATTTTGGGTTTCTACTTCAACCACATTGTTGTCTCCTTGAGTACGAAAATATAATCTTGGTGCAGGCCTGGTAGTCTCTGTTGTGGATCCTCAACCGGATGAGCAAATTATCGACTGTTGCGCAGCTCCCGGTGGAAAAACCCTTTACATGGCCTCCCGTTTGCATGGCCAAGGTAATTTGTCATCCAGGACCAATCATTTTGTTCTGTGATCTAAGAATTATTTAGAGTTTTATTTCTTTGGACAGCATTTGGAGGTGTTGTATTGGGTTTCAGGTATGATATCTGCGATTGACATAAACAAAGGACGGTTGAGAATCCTCAAAGAGACGGCTAAGTTGCACCAAGTGGATGGTGTCGTTACCACAATCTCCGCCGATCTTCGTATTTTTTCTGTAAGCTTTCAACTTAAATTAAAATATTGTGTTTTCAAACATGTAAACCTTATTCATTGTTTCTATTATTCCTTTCCAGGAAACTAACACCGTTAAGTATGATAAAGTTTTGTTGGATGTTCCATGTTCCGGACTTGGTGTTCTCTCCAAGGTGATTTCATAAGTACAAGTTTTTCTGAGTTTGTGTTTGTATCAAGTCTTCAAAACATCTTTTAACCATCATTGTTTTTGGTTCTTTGACTTTGTGAAGAGAGCGGACTTGCGTTGGAACAGGAAACTGGAGGATATGGAGGAGCTTAAGAATTTACAGGACGAGCTCTTCGATGCAGCTTCCTTGTACGATCAAAACTTTTCTTTCATTGGACTGTTGTTTTTTTTTTTTCCCGTAACTAATGAAATGCGCACTAGAATCAAAAGTAGTTATCCCATTCAATCAAACACAGAGTTAGTAAGTGATTGTAGGGCGTCCTTGTAAAAAGAAAAACATGTGGATACAATTGCTAAGTTTTAAGTTGATTCTTTTCTTCTGTACTTTATCTTTAGCATGGTGGCTTGACAGTTTTTTGCCAGTGTGTATGTAGTAGAAAATTAAACATGATGCTGGTTTTTCTTCTTTTTTTTTCACATAAGAATATTCATAAGTTCATAACCACTATTTGACCTTTTTTCCCCGCTATGTTAATGTTTATTTTGCATCCATAGATTAGTAAAGCCCGGCGGAGTTTTAGTATATAGCACCTGCTCAATAGATCCTGAAGAGAATGAAGATAGAGTTGCTGCATTTCTTCTAAGGCATCCGGTAAGCTTCTTACTATGTTCCCTTTTAAGAGGTTCCTTTTTTTTTTTCTTTTTTCTACACCTAAATCCTTTGCAAGAATAGAACATTATTTCAGTCAAGAAAGGTGAAAAGAAAACCACTAACACTGTAACCAAACGCACCCTAAGAAGTTGCTTTGCTCATATGTATCACAAATTAGTGAAGTAAAATGCAAAGGACAATTTCTGCACTTATGGCGATATTTTGCTTCTTGAATACTTCCGAATTGAGATGCTTCTTTTCTTTTCTTTTTCCCCCCCTTGCATTGCAGGAGTTCCACATAGATCCCGTTGACAGATATGTCTCCACAGATTTCGTAACCGCAGAAGGATTCTATTTTTCCCATCCAGTGAAACATTCACTCGACGGGGCCTTTGCTGCCCGTCTAGTTCGAGCATAGAAATCCTGTGCAATTCCTGAATTACACACTTCCAGTGGTGAATTATGCCAGTGACTGCTGAATCTCCTGCAAGAGTATTCGTGTTTCTTTCTGAGAACAACAATGCTGCCTTCTACGGTCCTCCAGCTTCACGAAAAGACGTGTTTCCATAGGCACGCGCATATGATCTTTCCGAGGTGTTCCTTTTGTTACTGCATCGAAATAAAATCCTTGGTCCAGAAAGAACATCCATTCTCATAGCCCGTGTCTCATCGACATTGCAACGCTTTCAAACTTCTTCTTTGGAAGCACGGACCCACAAAGCGGTGCCTTGATCGAAGACGAGAAGAGGCGACATTGAGGGGAAACTTTTCATCATATCAGGAAAGGCTGGAGAAGCTTCAAATTTGATCTGTGCAGGTGAAGAGAGACTGCACCAGAGAATGCAATGTGTACCAAGTTAAAAATTGAACAAGCATTGCTTTTAAAGTATACTCTTGTATTATTAATTAAAAAAATGGTGCACATCATTAAAATCAAGTTTAATGCGTCATATCATGAGTAGAACGGTGAAACAAATGTGTTAATTTTTATTTTTATTTTCTTTTACCGAATAACAAATACATCATTTCAGTTCTACAGAATTTTCATAATATTTAGGTGTGCATGGATGATATTCGTGTGTATCATTGCTCATTATTTATAAGGATGCGTCTATGGACTCTCTTTTTCTACTTTTTATACCCCTTTTTTAATATTCTTAAATTACTCATTAACAAAATTATTTTTACGGATTCTTAAATTACACATTAACAAAATTATTTTTAAGGATAATAGTATTTTTTAAAAATATTTATAACACACCTCATTCTTAAAAAAAGACATAAATTAAATGGTAATTGTTTATATTTTATGAAGTGACATAAATATTATTTTTACTATTTTAAGTGATTTTTTTTCCCCATAATACCGAGTCCATTCAAGTTAATTTTCGTGTCAATATTGTCATCAATTTGGGTCGAGTTCGTCGCGTCGAATCCACACTGCCACCCAACATCCTTGACGAACGACATCTAAAACAATGTCGTTTCTAGAAAACAATGTCGTATAGTTTCTGTTGTCCACCGTTCACGGTTCACCTCAAAACCGGAGCCAAAGAAACGACCCACCCTTTTCCTCCTCCTCTGCCACTCCAAATGCTCTCACCATGAACCGCCACCGTCCGACCGCCGCGGCCCTCTCACGTGCCCTGTCACGTGCCTTCTCCGCCTCCGCCTCCGCCGCCGAGCCGTCATCGGCGTCGGCGTCGTCGTTCCCTCAGAAGCTGGTGACGAGGTCGAACTTCGAGGCGGCGCTGGCCGAGCTGCGGCGCCACGTCAGGGCGGCGGATTTCGTGGCCGTGGACCTCGAGATGAGCGGCGTCACCAGCGCGCCGTGGCGCGAGTCACTCGGCTTCGACCGCTCCGACGTGCTCTACCTCAAGGTCAAGCACTCCGCCGAGAAGTTCGCCGTCATTCAGTTCGGTGTTTGCCCCTTCCGCTGGGACTCTTCCAAGCAGACTTTCGTCGCTTATCCGTACTCTCTCTCTCTCTAAGTTTCTGGTTGTTTGATGATGAAATGAGGGGAAAGGAAGAAATTTGAGCGAAATGTTTGCTTAATCTTCTTTCGTTGATGCGTAATGATTTTCTTTATTATTTGCATTTTTCTTTTAGGTGACATTGTAGGAAAGGATTAATTGTAGAGTAGGAAATGTTCGATTTTGAATGATACGATGTTCGTCTTTCTATCTCTAAGTTCTGGTTGTTTGATGATGAAACGGAGAGAAAGGGAAAGAAATTTTGAGCGAAATGTTTGCTTAATCTTCTAGATTTGCTTTAGTTTTACCTTTTGGCTGATTGCTTGCATTTTGTATGCCGGTGAAATTCACGGGAATGATCAATTTTGGAGTAGGAAAGTTTTGGTTTTGAACGGTGTTATAATATTGTTTTATGTTTGTTTGCTGAGAAAATAGAGGGCTTGAAAGAGCTAAGAAAATTTCGTTTTGAAACATGGTGCTTTTGCGTGTTGGTAAACAAGCTTGCTAAAAAAGCAACTGATTTAAGTATTTTCATTTGATTTAAGCCTTTAAGAATTGGAATTGCTGATCTTTTGGTTACACGTTTGTTTGCTGAGAAAATAAAGGCAAGAAAGAGTTCATAATTTTTTGTTCTGATGCTTTGCCTGTGGTTTCTTTGTAAGAGATTACCATCGTTTTAGAGCTTACTTTTGTGCATTTTTCATGCGCATTTCTGAATGAGATTGTTCAATTACAGGCACAATTTCTACATTTTTCCGCGTCAAGAACTTCCTACAATCGACCGCTCCTCTTATGAATTTATCTGGCAGACAGGATCAATTGATTTCCTGGCTAGATACCAATTTGATTTCAATGCTTGCATACGAGAAGGTAAATTGGACCGTTTCCCTCTCCCTCTCTCTCTCTCTCTCTCTTCCATATGTATGGTTATGAGTTTTAACTAGGTGCTCATGATTGGAATTTTCTTGCCCAACATAGGTTATGAGTTTTAACTTTCTCTTCTATTAATAGTTACTAAAAGTTATCTCGCTGCTTCATGTTATACAAACTAAAATGTATTTTTTTGATGCTTTCTCAAAGTTTCGTTTCTAGAGATGCTTTCAGTTTGCGAATTTGAACCCAATTGGGTAATCTCAGGAATATCTTATTTATCCAGAAGGCAAGAAGATGAAGCACTGAGACGTCTGAATTCGGGGGATGAAGACGAGTCATCTGCAACATGCTATAACTCAAAAGATGCTGGAGACATACCATTAGTCGCTATGGCGGACATTCTCTTTTCGGAAAGAATGAAGAACAGATTAAGTGAATGGCATGATTGGTTATTGCAGCCTCGAAATAGAGAGTTCCAGTTTCAGGGCAGTTCAAATGACTCCAAACAAAAATTTCAAACCCTTTTTTTCATGATGTGGCCGGCTGTTAATCTGATTGGATTCACTTCTCATCAGCTTCGGTTGATTCAGCTGGTAATTTTGTAATTATATCTTACATCTTCTACCAATTATCATAAAATTGTAATTTGTAAGAAATCATTATTGGACATTTATTAATCATTAACACGTCGTCATAGTACATTGCTCATAATTTTCAATGCTTATCTAGTAAAGTGAATAATGTCTTCTGCCGTGGTCTATGTAAATATGCAGGTCGTTAGAAAAAACTTCAAAGATCTCACTTATGTTCACGTGAAGGGTGACAATGTTTTCTCACAACATCTAGTGGTCTATACAGATTCTAAGGATGACAGAGACTTACTCATTGTAAGAAGCTCCTATCCGTCCCTTAGATGGATTTGATGTGTTTTCCGAATTGTCTTTCTTGTTTGAATGACTACACGGTCAGGCAGTCGAAACAATTGTTTTTAGAATTTAGTAGCGAAATGGATTGTTCTTAGTGCCTTAAAACTTTGAACTGGCATCTTTGTTGGCTAGAAGTGAAGATGGTTGGTCCATCACTAATAATTTGGCATCTATAGATGACCTTAACTATGGGAAAATGCATATGAAGAAAAACAGAAAGAACATTAAAAAGAAAAGTTTTAAAGTTATTGTATCTGCTTCCTGGGAAAAATGAATTTCTTGATGTTCCTTTTTTCTCTTTTACCAGAAAGAAGTGAATAATGAGCATCGGAAACGAGCAGAGAAAAAGATCCAAGCTGCTGTTGGGTTTCGCCATGTTGTCGACCTCTTGTCCTCGGAACGGAAATTGATCGTCGGTCACAATTGTTTCTTGGGTACAGACATGAAATACTAAATCCCATTTTTGTATAAAAGAGTAATCAGATGGTCTATTATTGATATGCTTTCTTCTCTTTGATACAGATATTGCTCATGTATACAACAAATTTATAGGCCCTCTTCCCTCAACAGCTGAAGAATTTGTTTCCTCTGTTAGCAAGTACTTTCCTCACATTATTGACACCAAAATCCTACTGAATACTCATCAAGTACTCCGACAAAGAATGAAGAAATCCAAGACATCATTATCGTCAGCATTCACCTTGTTATGCCCGCATATCTCTCTTAGCTTTGCGGCACTTGAATCCTATGTTAAGGTGGAGGTTGAAGTGGATGATTTGAGGTTTGTTCTTGCTCTCTTCTGTCTATATTGCAAACTTTTTAGTGCTTAGATCATTCAACTTATTTTAGTGTCAATTTTGGGGGAAAAGAAAAGGAAGAAGAAAAATGCATTTTGATGAACCTTCTCACATGATCTCCTCTCCTCTATGAGGTTTCTTAGAGGTCAAAAGAAAATCCACATCATGTTTCGATAATTAATGTACGTGGGAGTTATTTTCAACAAAACTGAGGCCACCTTAGTGTAAAAATTAGCTATCTATTTGCAGGTCCTCCAGCTGGAATTCCGGAGCCAAGCATGATGCGGGATATGATGCTTTTATGACGGGATGCATTTTTGCTCAGGCATGCGGTTATATTGGCATTGATTTTAAACTCCATTCACCCTCGGAAAGTTTAGCTGAGAATGAAAAACTCCAGAAGCACATCAACCTTCTGTATCTCAGTTGGACTAATGCAGACATTATTGATCTAACGAATGGTAATAAGGTTACAGCGTCCGTGGAATATAGCCAGAAAAAGCGGTACTCAAATGTTGTGTTTGAGAACGTTGTGTTAATTTGGGGATTTCCTTCCGAACTCAAGGCAAGGCACATAAGAGAATGCTTCTCAAAAACCTTTGGTGTGACCTCCGTTACTTTTGTCTACCAGATGGATCCAACTGCAGTTTTTGTTCAGTTTTCCAAAACCAAACTCGTCTCCGACTTTCTCAGTTTAATGGAAACTCTGGAGAAAAATAATGATCCAATCTCGGTTTTGCATCCTCTCAGCGAACTTTTAAAAGGCGGGAACACTCGTGCTGCTACTTATGAAACTTACAAGCAAATTTGCGGCACACCTATTTCAAAAGTCTTATTTGCAGATCAGGCAGAGGCATTCGGTGCTAAACGGAAGACCGACTTCGTGGAATCTTCTAAGACAGCAATGGATACTCAAGAAGATAAAAATCCTGTCTCAGAAAACTCCGTTTTTGTAGATTTATTATCGGCACCCTGGGGTGAGAAAGCGGCCCAGGCTGCTTCAAACTATGCTGGCAAAACCAAGCCAGGGATGATTGACAATTTGGAAAATGATTCATTTCATGGCTGCCTCTCCGGTGATGAGATTTTAAATTCTGTTTATGCTGCTGAAGAGACTCAGCTGGTCAGAACTAGTTAAGTTGTGAGTGACCCAGATCAATTAAACTCTTTTTTTTTTCCTTTTTTTTTTTTTTTTTTTTTTTGCAATGATATTGGGATCAAAATTATCTGTGTTCTACTGTTATTTTTATTTAATTTTGTATACGACATTTAGGAATGAACTACTAGGAACAATAGAAGAAATGAAATTTGGAATCTGTATCGCAGAGAACCTTTTCGGCTGGAGCCAAATGACATTCTCTCTCATCAATACATAGAGAATTCCTTGGCAGTTTTAGATTTTTGTGGCAGTTGGCACTTAATGGATTAATTTTCCCTCTCTCAACTTCAACTTATTTAGTACTTGATAGCGAATACAAAGAAAACCTGGTACTTTTTATTGGTGCTATTAATTAAAGTAGTTGTTTTACACACAAAAGTTATAGATATCGAGCACAAAGAAACCTGAAAATAGTTTTTTTTTTTTTTTTTTTTTTTTGGAGTTTATTGGTGTTATTAACAGTTAAATTAGTTGTTTCACTCAAATTTTATACCATCTGTCTCATAGATTTAATGGTTTTTGATCTTCCTCCAAAGATGTACATTTTAGCGGAAAGAAAATAGTTCCTCTGCAAAACAAAAAAGTTCCTCTGGTGAATCAGAAATGAATAAATAAAAAGAATAAAGAAAATAAAAGAAAAGAAAATCAATGGATGAGGATTTGGTGATTGGACCTATCGTGTTCTTGGATATATATATATATATATATATATATATTCATTCTTAATCTACTTGAAACTATCTTTAGTATATGTTGACATCAACTACCGCCAATGGAAATGTTTTATCACGGTTTTTGTTTGTATTCACCTTTCAAAGTCCATTTTTTTTACCGCTGCTAAATCTGTCTCTTCTTGGGGTGGGTGGGAAGTAATATGGCATAAACGGAAATATCAAAATTGACTCATGATAATGATGTTTGCTAATTAATACACATCAAATCAAGAGAATTTTGATCTCTTAAACAACAAAAAGACAAAAAAAAGGATCAAAGGAAGTGTAGGGTATTGCCGCATGAATATCAAATAGAGACTGCCATTTTTTTTTCCTTTTAGTTCTATTTCTTTTGCAAAAAAAATAGTTTATTCGTAGCTTTTTTTTTGGGGGGGGCTAAAAGAGTATATTCATAGCATTTTTTTTATTACTTTTTTGCACAAAAAAATGGCTATGAACTTCTCCAAATCAAATCCAATTTATTGTTCATGCCTAAATATGGATAACCATGAAATTATAAGTCTGATGAGAGTAGTATTTTTTTTCTTAGTATTTTTTTCTCTTTAATTTTTCACGATTTGACAAGTAGTTCTCTGAAGTTTTGAATTTAGCAAATTACGCCTTCGTTTAATAAAATATGCCAAATTACCCTAAAGTGATAATAATTTAAAATTTTAGACAAAAACATAAGGCCATTGACTTTCTTTGTACACATTACAGAAGTTCGAATTTTGAAGGCGCAAATGTTAGAAATTTTGAATGATGATAGATAAAGTATGTAATGTCACATGCATAAAGACGTTTTTTTAAGTTTTAGCAGTCTTAATTTAAAAATTTGGGAAATTTTGCAATATTTTACTAAAATCCAATGAGTAATTTGTTAAAAAATCAAAAGTTCAAGAACTAATTCACTAGAAATTCTCTCATTAGAAAATATAACTAGAAATCTAAACCGTAAAATATTCGAACAAACTTTAATTTTTTCTTAGAAAAGAACTTGTGTAAAGAGCTCTTTGAACTTATAACTAATCGAAGAATGTAAAATCACCAAGGGATTAATTAAACCTACAAACCACCAGAATCTAAGTAGATTTTAAAATGAGAACAAAAAGATGACTTATAAATTTTCTTAAACAAATTGAAAAATACTACAAGAATTTGAGAAGTAAGAAGTTTTACATTTTTTTTTTTTTTTTTTTTTGTGCTTGTAGAAATTTAACTTGATTTGTTGGGGTGAAAAAAGAGAAGAAATTGCTTCCGTTACGAGGTAAAACCCTAGATGGCTGAAGTGGTGCCGCATCAAATGTCCCCCACCATGCATGTCTTCCACGTGTCCGATTCGGTCTGATTTGACGGTCTTGATTTGTTTAAATCACGAGAGAAAAGCCACTCTAGTCTCTAAATCCCCGTACCACGCGTGAACAGAGTCAGGTGACCTTTTGGGTCCACCTGCAATAGCCGGTCACTATCCCTTACCAAATTTGGTTTCACATTTATGAGTTACTTGTACGTTTCTTATATTCTGTTACTATTTTCTAATTGGTACGTAATTAATTAAAATTTCCCCCCAAAAAATGTATTTTTCCTCTCCAATAAGATACACTTATTCATTCAAAAGTAATAATAATTAAAAAAAAAAAACTATAAATGCGAAGGTAAAAAGGTTGAGTCAGGTTTTGAACAATCTCTAATTTGTAGAAACTGCCAAATTATAAATAATAAATGAATCTTAATTAGAGGACCACTTTAACCGTACCACCCGGTCACCGTCCACAAGCCACCGGCTGCAGCCGGTTACCACTTCCCTATTAATAGGGTCATCTATCAAGCAAGCGTAAAATGTGAATGCTCCATGGGGTTGAGAGTTTTTACCTAATACGTCTCTCTCTCTCTCTCTCTCTCTCTCTCTATAGAACACTCTTGGTTATCCGTTTCATCTAATTTGTTTGTTCTTCCTCATCATTTCTTTGGCAAGATTTGCTTTCATTTCACAAGAAGTTTTCATAGAAAAATAGAGATAATCTAGCTAGTAGAAAAAACGCTATTCCTTAGAGAGAGAGAGAGAGAGAGAGAGAGAGAGAGAGAGGAAGACAAAAAAAGGAAAAGGAGCTTTCATGTCGATTTTGTGGAGCCAAAATCTTGAAGCACCACATAAGGGTATTGACTTTCTTTACCTAGTTTCTTATTTTCAGTCCTTTTTTTTTTAAGCTGTAGCGTGTTTCATGCTGGTTTTTAATTAAAAATATATATGGTTTTTGTAAACTATATTAGATTCTATTATATTGATATGCATGCATGCGATGATCCCTTAATTGTCATATATATGAATATGTTAATAATAAATGAATGAGCAATGTAGTGCAGTTAACACAAATAAACGAATAAAAAATAAATAAGGTTTTTTAACTGGTCCATATATATATATATATATATATATATATGTATATATGTGTGTGTTTATGTTTCTCAAAGTTTCATCTTTGAGAACCTAGCTTTTTCTAATGACATAATGATACTATACTATGGAGGTTCATTTATATTTGGCAACTGTTTTTCTGCTTCTTGTCAAATTTTTTTTCAGCCCTGCAAATATATTATCCTATTTACTACCATGAAAACTACCTCATGACCATGATATAATATAATATATTATACATATACATCTGTGTGTGTGTGTGTGTGTGTGTGTGTGGTCGTTCCAAAATCAAGTTGTTATGTCTATTTTTGCGCTACCGTCAACTGCTTTATATGGCTATGCATATAATGCATGGAATATACATTCATAAGATTAAACAAACACATTAATTGTGAGGTTTTTTTTTTTTTTTTTTTTTTATTAGACATGCATATAACTCGATGTTACAAAAGCTACATATATATACATATCCTTGTAATGTCATTCTAATTTCTAAAGCAATATGTTGGTTTCAACAACAGGAGAAGATCCATATATATATATATATATATATATTGAAGAACAACAGTCAAGTGGTTACACAAATCATGTTGACAGAAGAGAGAGAGCACAACCCGCCAAGAGCTAAAGAGAGACTTTGCCTTTGTTGGGAGTGTGCTTTCTCTTCTTCTGTCAGCATTTATCGCACTCCATTTTGATTTGTGATGTGAATATGCCAGCCACCACTTGATCCTCATCAAACGGCTTGAATGATGTAAGATTTTCTTGAACTCAATTGTAAATATACATATAGCTACGAAACTAATGCGCATGTATATTTTGGTCTCATATATAGATTTATAGGTTTCTGGTGAAAATGAGAATTTTCTTTTAATATAACACTTTATTGTTTGCTTAAAGTAGTACTTCTCTCTTCCAACAAAGAGAGAGAGAGAGAGAGAGAGAGAGAGAGAGAGAGAGAGAGAGAGAGAGAGAGAGGGGAGAGAGAGGGAGGAGAGAGAGAGAGAGAGAAGTTAACGGCCACATGGCCATTATAATTATAATAACTACTTTGTTATTTTCCCTTGTTTTTTTATTAATTACAAGTGAAACGCGCATATATATTTGAAGAAATTAATTGATCAGAAATAGGAAGATGACACAATAACTTTCATTATTATGAAATCACCCTTAGACAAAATGAGTTTCATTTCAAGAATGTGTCATTGAGATTGCCCTTATTTTGGTGTCTTAAAAGTTATAAGTTCCATCCCTAGAAAGCAAAATTCATTTCATAAATGCAATGACACATGATGCAAATCAACAAGTATGCCAATTTTTAAATTTTTTTTCCCTTAGTATATATGTACTAACACTATTTTCCCTCAGCAGGTTATATATATATTATATACACACACATACACATAACACACCACTTCATCTCACCATCTTTTTCAGAAGAGTAATGATACATAATCATGAATGTCATGAAAAGCATACGTCAAAATTCTCTTAAGTTTCATAAAAGTAGAATTATTGTTTCGAACTTGCTTATTTACTCCTAACAAACTAAATTTTAGTTTCATAATTATGTGTCACCATGAATTTTTTTTTTTTTTTCTCTTTTTCATGCTGAGCATCATTATATCCTTTCCAATAAAAGAAATGACAACAAAAAATTCATTTTCATTTCTGCTTTTACAAATAATAGTATCATTTAAATCAAATCAAAGGCAGTATCAGGAGGGTCATATTTCTGGTCCAATCTTGGTTGCTACTAGGAACTGATATATATTATCCAGCAGATTCCTTCCAAATATTCATGGCAAAGAAGAATGGAAGAACTTGGTATTAAGTTAAGCTGTAATATTTTTTTTCCCATTTATTCTATATATATATATATATAAACTTTTTTTTTTTTTTGCTCAAAGACTAATGTAACAGTGTATGGACGAGTTAAATTATAATGTGCTTCAGTTGAAATTTGTATGATGAAGTTCAAGATTCCAGAGTCCCCTTTCTCTTAACCTTACTAGATAATTGTGTTTTATGTACTTGTTTGTAATTATATACTGACATGAGAATTCTTTGGTAGAGTATATTCCTATCGGTAAGGCACTGTTTTTATTTATTTATTTATTTATTAGGTTCTGTCAATTTTTTATACTATCTTATTTAATCCAATTTTTATGTGATTTTGATTAGAAACACATCAAATATTAATAATGTTGATATATGAATTATTATTGCTTCTGTTTACTTTACTATGTGGTTTGATGAGAAACCAATATTGGAAATGCTTTTTGTACTTGTGGTGACTCAAAACAATATGGTTTTCAAGGAAGGAATCAATGTTTCTTTCCTGATGGTCTTATCAACTATTTACTAAATAATCAAGTGCTTTGAAATAATCGTTGGATCAACAAAAACTTTTTTAGCCTTTTTACTAGTGCTTATAAAGGAAAAATCTTTCACTCAAGATAATAATGTCAGTACAAAACTCTTAAAACGACATAAAGTTGCTGTATGGAAAATTTTCATTTTTTTTTAAGTGTATATTATGTAAACAAAACGGCTCCTGAATCAGAGAGATCTTTAATTGGTCATTGCATGGAAACTAAGAAATGTTACATACTATAGCTTGTTGAATTTGTAACTGTAACAGAAAGAATACTTAAGCAAGCTTCTTATATGATAAGGAAAAAAGCAGAGACCACATATATAGTTCAATAAATGTTGAACTCAGTCAATGAACTGCTATAAGTCTCTTCTTTTATCTCCATTATACAAAAAAGGATACCAAAAATACTTTAAAAAAAATCAAAGAATGAAAAATCCTACTATCTTATAGTATGAAATGTGACTAATGTATATAAAGAAGGCCTTGAAAAGAAAAAAAATCAAACAGAGGTAATCTTAATCTCATACTCATCATCATCATCAGAAACAATGTCATCCAAGGTGAGAGGCAAGCCACAAGAGAAAGTGATGCTAGGCTTGAGCCTTGGTACCGCGACTGGTTCGGCCTCGTTGTTCAATATCTGCAACACCCTCCTCATCGAGGGCCTCTCCGCGCTATCAGGGTTGGCGCAGCTCAGCCCCACAAGCAACAGCTTCCTCATCTCCTCCTCCCTAAACTCCCCAACTAGCCTCTTGTCAGCAGCCTCAATGATCTTCCCTTCGGAGTGCCAACCCCAAACCCAATCCACCAAATTCACCATCTTCTGACCGCCCGTCTCTCGCTCTATCGGCCTCCTCCCACAAGCCACTTCAAGGATCACAACACCATAACTGAAAACATCCGTCTTCTCAGTGGCCTTCCCATATTGAAGATACTCGGGTGCGAGGTAGCCCATTGTCCCGGCGGTTAGAGTAGAAACCGGGCTCTTGTCGTGGTCCATAAGCTTCGCTAACCCGAAATCTCCCAACCTTGGATTGAAATTCCCATCAAGCAACACATTTCCTGTCTTTATGTCCCTATGGATGACCTGTTGCTCACACTCTTGGTGAAGATATGTCAAAACAGAAGCCAGCCCAACTGCGATGTTGTGCCTATGAGACCAACTCAACACGTTTTCGCCTTTCCCGGGCTGTTGTTGTTCTTGGTAAAGCAACTTGTCAAGGCTGCCATTGGGCATGTAATCATAGACAAGAAGCAATTCACCTTTCTCAACACACCACCCTTGGAGCTGAGCCAGATTCTTATGCCTCAAGCAAGCGATAATCGAGAGCTCGGCCAAGAACTCAATTTTCCCCTCGTGGGAATGCCTCGACCTCTTCACCGCGGCTATGGTCCCCGAGCCATCAAAGAAGGCTTTGTACACTGTCCCAAAGGCTCCATGCCCTATGATCCTACTAGAATGAAACCCTTTTGTGGCCAACTTCAGCTCTCTATAAGTGAACTCTCTAGGACCTGCCAAAACATCACTTTTGAAGCTCTTTTGAGTCTTAAAACTCTTCCATTTTCTCAAAGACACATAACCAAACACCACAAGGACAACCAAAAAGAAGGCTGGACCAGCAATCCCGAGCCCCAAACCGAGCCTTTTGTGATCATTACTCGAAGAATTCCTCGCCGGAATCATCGGTGTCATCATCACCGTGTTGTCCGACACATTGTGAGGATTCAATCTTGACCTTAATTTCAAAAACCCATATGTAGAGAAACTCCAATTCTCAATCAAATGAAGCTCAGTACTTCCTTCAGTGGAAGCTGAAAACCCCAAATACATATTCTCCTTCAAGTACTTGGAGAGATCAATGTCCACGCTTAAAACCGGATTATCGGGCTTAAGATTCGAGTAACTAAGGAAGATCTTAAGCTTTTCTTGATCCTTCTTGTAATCAATCCAAGCAGTTATGGCATTCCCACTCTTGAGACTAATCTCCTGGAGCATCACATCCCCGGTCTTGATCGAAATTAGGCTCTCGACATCGAGCCCGACATGGTTGTCGTTCGGGTCCTCGAAATGCGGGTCCATTCGAGTGTCGAATTCGATTGCGACGAACTTGTTTTGCGTCAGTTGGGAGGAATTGACGAGGCCCAGGTAACCTCCGGGGCTACCGAGCGTGCGATTCTCCGGCGAGAGGAAGAAGGAGAGGCCGTCGCCGGAGGAGTCCGGGTTGATGTTGGTGATGGAGAAGGAGAATTTTGTGGAGAAAGATGCCGTGGAGTTGGTTTCAGGGTCGTGGAATCTGACGGGGTTGTTGTAGATGACGGTCCCGGCGCTGGAGGACGGCACGCCGAGCTCTCGGGTGAGGCCTAATACGCCGTTTCGGAGGTACGAGTCGCCGAGGAGAGTGAAGTTTCTGAGGCTGAAGGAAGGGAAGTCAAAGCTGACATTGTGAGCAGAGGAGTGAAAAAAGAAAAAGATGATGGAGAAAACAAGAAGCTTTCTTGGAGGCATAATTAATGGATTTTCAGAGTATTTTGATTTCGTGCCGTGATTTTTGAAGGAGAAAGAGAAATGGGTTTTGTTTTGTTTTTGTGATATGTTTGGCTTTTTTGAGATCGGAGAGAGGTTGGGGATAATTCAGAACAGAGTTGTTTGGAGAGAAAGAAAAGTGTGGAGAGAGAGAGATGGGAAGAGAGGGAAAGTGGGGCTTTAACGGTTAACAACGGTGATGATTGAAACGACAATGTTTTTTTTTTCATTTATTGAGTTAGTGGGTTTTGTGACTTTTGTTAAACGACAAGTTGGGTCAGAGTTTGAAAGGAGGAGCGGATTTGACAATTAAAACAAAAAAAAGAAAAAAAAAAAAACCAATGTGGGGTCTCAAACTGTTTTAGACGTATTCAAAACTGACCGTTTTCGTGTCTATTATGATTGTGATGTTTTTGTGTGCAAGAAAATTGGGTTCCCATTGACTGACCAATTTGAATAGAATAATGTTTGTAATTAGGCTGAAGCTAAGCTCCCGATTATTTTATCGATTCGAGTTTAAAATTTAATTACAGTAAAAAGTTTTCAGAAATAATCACATCTAACTTTTTTGTTACAGTAAAAGCTCTCACATAAAGGGCCCATTCGAGTTTTTAATTCGAGTTAAGATGTGATATTGTGTGAGAGCTTTTTACTGTAGTAAAAAAGTTAGATGTGATTGTTTCTGAAAGCTTTTTACTGTAGCAAAACTCGAATTCTAAACTCAAATTAGCAAAAAGAATGGGTCAAAAGTCACATCTCAACTCGAATTAAAAACTCGAATCAACGAACTAAACGGACCCTAGTACAAAAGAAAAATGAGCTTTCTAGAACAGTGTTATTCGGCTATTTGGCCTATTTGTTTCAAAAGAAAAATGAGCTTTCTAGAGCAATGATATTTGGCTATTTAACCTGTTTGTTTCACTAGTTCGGCTTAATTCAGCTCAGTTCAAGCTATGAATCAAGTTTATAATCGTGTGTGGTAAGCACGTAGTAAAAATTATATTTTCTGTTCAAATTGATTTAAACTGTCTAACTTAGAATTTAAGTCACTTTTTCATTTTAATAGTTCTAACTATTTTTAAATAGTAAAAAATGTCCACTCTCTTAACTTTTTACACCTACAAAACACAAATCAGATTTTATTTTTTGTTTACATTTAAACTTTAACTGCACATCATAACGTCAATTCGGACTACAATTTAAACCATATAGTTTAGATTTTTCTATTTAAATAAAAAAAAAGTTCAAATGAACACAATTCGAACCAATGTACCAAACAGGGGCATCGTGTTACATGTTTGTAAACGTTAAATTTAATTAAAATGACAAAATTCAATAAAAATTTTATTGTTAAAAATAAGAGAATATTTATGATAGAACATGCATTTTTATTCTATCAGTAGGAACTATTATTTTTAAGAGTTAAATATGTGCATGTCTATATTAAAAGTGAGTGATACTGTACTGCTCATACTCTAAATCAAACTATTAAATAACTAACACAACAATTAAAATACAATTTATACTTGTAGAGTAAAAATTTCATGTCCTGCCTAGAAGTAGAACCTTGTTTATAGATTTTTTGTTTTTTTTTATCTGTTTTTTGTTTTAATTTCCATTCCATACTATAGAATTAAGAGAGAGAGGGAGAAGAGGTTTGTTCAATTGATCACGGACTGGGGAGGGGTCGTCCCACTTAGCGCTGAAATTCACAGTTTTAACACTTTTTGGGTTGCACTTTCTTTTGTCATTGGAAGGTGTTAATTGGACGGTGATTATTTTATTGAACCATGACGATTGCCTGTGCTTGCAACACAATCTTGATAAGATATGAGATTTCTTTTTGTTTATACATTAAGGTGCCAAATTCCCCATGAATGAAGATGGAATCTAAACGGCAACTAAGTTTTTTATTTTTTTTTTATTTTTTTATTTTTTTGGGGAGGGGTTTAAAACAGAGTCAGCAGAGCACTAAGATGTGGTTGAAATTCAAAAAAAAATGCCAAAAGATGGCCTCCATGTGATCATAAGGTCAGTCTAGATTCAAATAATTGAGCAGGAATCATACGTCATTTAGCCGTTACAAAGATTAAACAATTGGTATTGTCATATGACCTTTTTTTTTTTTTTTTTTTAGAAAACTTCATCTCCAAAGTTCATTTATGCTTGTAGCCGCCGAGTACATAAATATTAGAAGTGTCATATTAATTACAAATTACAATAGGGTTTATATGTAATACCTTTTGATAGCCGTCTTTTGGACCATATATCTTTTCTTTGTTTCATTACTTGGATTTGTTGGGAAGATGGAACCTTTTCAGTGAAGAGATAAGAGAGAAACTCTACAATCAAATCAATTTGACTTTCTGTTGGAAAAAATGTTAAATATTCATGGGAACTAAAAATTCTTGGTGCTTTTGTCCTCGAAGAACGAGCCATTATTGAGGAAGAACATACAGAGGTTAGAAACCTAGTTCCCCATCAAGTCTACAATATACAGACAGCTTTTTTTTTTTTTTTTTTTTTTTTTTTTTTTTTAAACCAGAGCTAGTAATCAGTGTCGACTAAGGAACAAGAACCAATAGGAGAAAGGCCATGAAGATGACTAATCATTTACCCTTCCTAGCGCCAGTGAAATTTGGTCAATTCTTAGAAATTCTTGCAAAACATGGAACAAGTCAATGGAAAAGAAGCATGTACATGGCAGATCACAGGAACAAATCACCCGCTTGAGAACTCTTCAGGAAATCATCTTTGGGAATCTGCCATGTAAAAGAAATGAAGCTTCATGATGAAAAGAAATGACAATCTAACAAAAAATTATCCCAAAAGTTCACACGGAAAGCGAAAACTAAAATGGAATTGCATACCTTCCTCAGTGCAAAAAATAAAAGTGTTAACAAAGTCCATGGAGATCAAAGTCCTGGTTCTGGTTCCCACTACTTTACCCGAAATCTTCGTGGCAGAATAACTACAAAAAATAAATGTATTAGGAGTTTAATCCGATAATTAGTGCCTAATAAGCGACTAATTAGAAACAAAAGCCAAATTGAGCAGCTAAACATGTGATAAGTTTCAACTGTCTATGAATACTACCTTCGGCTATACGGCAGAAGCTTTCTGCGGGGAATATCGCTGCTGGGTTTACATCATCTTGGGAAAACACAGCTAAAGCTATGCGATTTTTACTGTAAAAACGAACAAAGCATGACTTCTTATGTCAAGGCAAACAAAAAGGGTAAAAATTTCAAAGGGAAAACATATTTTTAAATCGCGAAATCATACAAGTTTTCGGCAAATAATTGTATAATTTAAGTCATTGGAGTCGGTGAATATAGAGCTCTGATGGTTGGTGTATGTTAGAGGTGGAAGAAAGGACCAAAGAAATAGAAGGAATACCTGGCCCATGAAGGAACAAATTTTCCATTTGGTACATCCTCATCTTCTTCATCTTCGTCATCTTCGTCATCTGAACACTTGTATGGAGAAATATCATAGGACTCTTCTTGTCTTGTGGTGGCAGCCAAGTTTTCATTTCTTGTTGGCTTGCCTAAATTGTTCATCTAAAAGGGCACAGGAAGCATCAGCACCATGCTAAAATCATCTAAATATGTCAATGCTATAATATTCAGTCAATGTGTAAGATAGATTTTCTAGGTTGCTATAAGGAAATGTTGCTATTTCTAATTTCTCAGCCCCACATGAAATACTCACCAAAGACACTTGTCCCTTTAAACTATTTCCAGCATCACTCGAAGCCTCAAATTCTTTATGAACAATGCCAGCTCTTCTATCATCACTTGTTGATGCTCGGGTAGTCGTAGGTTCAGCTTCGGAGATACTTGGGAAATTGTCATCTCCCTTTCCCTTTTCCATTTTATATTTCTTTTTTTCAACCTTGGATTCCCTTATCTCATGTCCTTTTTCATCCTGCATTAGTCAGTTTGATGTGAGTAATATAATACCTGAAAGAGATGGCAGAAAGAGATTTAGTTACCAGAGTATAAATAGCCTACCATGTTTCGATCTTGTCTGTTTTTCACTTCCTTTGCTGCCTGCAACTTTTGTTCTTGTTCTTTCTGCTGCTTTCTCGTCTCCTCAACGTGCAACCGTTTTCTTTCCTTCTCTTTTTTCTCTTCTTCTTCCCTTTGCCTTTTCTTTGCTGCCATTTCAGTCTCTTTTTTCTTCCTCTCCTCTTCTTTCCTTTTCTTCTGCAGCTCCAACTGCCTCAAATTCTCTTGCTCTTGTCTTGTTCGCTCAAGCTTCATGGCTTCTTTCTTAAGCTTGCGTTCGTTCTCTTTCTTTTCTGCAGCACGCTTTGCAGCTTCAGCAGCCTCTAGGGCCTTCACTTTTTTGACATCTCGTTTCCCTATAAGAAAGAAAAAAAGTTCAAAAAAGAGAATGAAGTCGCTCAAAAATAAAGAACAAAGATACAATTAGAAAAGAAAAATGTTTTCAGAGTAACTATTTTTATGTAGCAAATGACCACAATCAGCATGTTGGTCATTTCAGAAAATTAAATGGAATATTCGGAAAATTAAGATTCAAATTTACAAAATACCCTCTCATCTTATACCATTAAATAAAAAAATGAATGGCAACAGAAACAAAGGAGCTTTCATGTAGCAAATTTAGCATTCGAAATACGTGCATGTACACCCTTATGAGACTTAATGCAGCAAATTTAGCATCCAATACAGCTTCAAAACTGAAACTGCCTCAAGAAAAAAAAATGTATATAAAATGCTGAGGAAAAGATGGCTTTTTTAAAGATAAACATCTGGTCGGAATTACCTGTTACGACTGCAGGTGCTTGTTTTTGTTGAACAAGTGGAATAAATGAAGTAATATTGGACAGAATATTGCTGCGCTTGGTCTCCGTCTCCGTGATACTTAAACCTCCTTTTCTGGAGTTGGTTTTTGCTGACAATTTTGGCTTACTAGTCCGATTATGAAGTGATCCGAGCTTCCCCTTAAGAGAAGTGGATCCTAATGTCTCATTCTCCTTATTGTTGTATCTTCTCCGAATGCTTCTTCCATTTCCAGCATTCTTTTTGCCCTTGTTATGAGTCCCCTGGAAGCTGAATTCTGTGTTTACAGATTCTAAACTAAACCTATCGGTGTACGTCTCCGCTTCAGATGGAGCAAGGTTCGCATCAATTTCGGCAAGTGGTTCTCTTTTAACCGAGCTAGTCAGCATCTCTGTAACAATGCCTTCTTGGTAGGTATAGGCAACCTCTTCCATGTTCTCATTCTCTTCATTAATGCATGGAAGCTCAGGATTTAAGCTCCTCCGTTTCTCTGAACTACCAGATTCTATGATTCTGTCCCAGACTTTCCGAACCGGGGATAAACAAGGCTTTTTTATATCCCAATCACAATAGCTAGTTGTACCGGGAAGACAATCAGAGTGGGATCTTGCATGAGAAGGAAGTTTGTCCTTCGTATCCGTACCCTCTAGAAGTCCAGTGGGAACAGACAGGTATAAATTGGAAAATTTATGCAATTTGTACGAAGGTGAAGAGCAGGACGCTGGAGTTTGCATGCAAGCAGATTTGCAAAGCTGCTCCAAAATGCTAGCACGCTCTATCATACTATTCGAAAGGTTAAGCTTATCAAAGCTGATTCCCTCATCAGCATTGCACGGTTGTTCATCATCTGATTGCATAACAAATCTCTCGAGCACTGGCATTGTCTCATCAGCCCGAGTCAAGTACAAAGATGGGCTCCGTGGCGAACCAACTGAAGAACATGAAAACTTGCTGGTTCCTACCAGATCAGGTATCTCTTCCTGCATTAGCGCTTCATCATTAGTCACACATTCAGTATTCTCGTTTTCAAATTTTTCTTCAAGATGATATGAATTGCCACTCTCTTGTAAACTGCATTGCCATTCTCCGTCATAAACAATGCTGGTTGGATCTGCATCTCTTGTCTCCTCCATCAACTGACTTTCGCAATCTCCAACAGCGTGTCTGGCCTCAGTTGCAACAAAGGATGCTTGCTGTCCCTTGTTTGCAAAAGTCGTCGAGCTGTTTGCATTTCTATCCCTCTCTTCCAAGCTAAATTCAATCTGTAGATACAAAATTTGCGCATTATACTTTGAATCAGAAAGGCCTCCAAATAAAGAAACCAAGTTTAGTAGTGATAAAAGAAGTTAAAACAGCAGATAAAGAAAGCCTCTACTGATTTTATTTATATTTGCTAACTATTACTAAATCAAGGTAGAAATTTTCAGAATGTTCAACCAAAACTGAAAATAAGAAGGAATACCGTTTCAACTTGAAATTTAGGTGAAAATATATAATCCTCTGGCACGTTGGTGTCATGATTTTGATGCAGTTCTTCAACTTGACTCCCCCTGATGACTGATTGAGTAACATCCTCTGGAGAAACTTGAAAGTCTTTGGATTCTAGGATAGCCTTTGGACTACGTTCTTCATTTAACAAGTTCCTACTACCACCATCTTTGTTGACAGAAAGAACATGATTTTCTCTCTTGCCAGGTGAATTAGACAGGGTATCAAGTGGATTGCTCCTTTTTCGCTTATTCCGAATCCATGAACCCTCAACCGAAGAGGTTTTTGCCACCGACTTTGCTGTAATCTGGCGCTGAGTTGATTGGGACTGATCAATGCTTGTGTCTTCATGACTACATCTGTCCAAGGGTTCTACAGTATGAGACTGAAACATGTCTAAATTCACAGTTGCATGTGCTAAGTTGCCCATACTTTCATCCTTGGAAACAGCACAAGGAAGCTCAACTGTGTGATCTGTACATGCTTCCTGCTCTGCATAAGTATCAGGTTTAGTTACTTGAGGAAAATCAGCATCTTCCGAAAGTTCGCGATCAACAGATAAAGTCTCCAGCTCACTGACTTTTGGGACTAATTCAGTAGGTTTTGCATCAACGAGTGTTCTGGTTTCTGTCTCAACGGAGGGATCCATCCCTGTATGCACATTAAGATCAGAGAGATTCGAAATTGTGACGTCCTTCAAAAGGATTCCAGGCATACTTTCCCGCGGTGCTTGTGTTGTAACTAAATTACCTGTCAAAGAAGATCTTGCTTTGGAATTCTTGTCACTCTGTTGCAGATTTTGAGCAAGTATATTCTTCTCCACATGGGATGTTTCTTTTGCTGGAGAGAGAACATGTTCTTCCAAAGCTATAACGGTTGTACTCGTGTCGTCTTCTTTGACTTCAGAAGAATCTCTTTGGGGCTCCTCTTCGCTCAAATCAACCGTTTCCTCCAGGGATACGTTGTAATTTTCCTGGTAATTCTCAGGCATTACTTTATCCAGTATACCTGATGATTCCGACAAAACTGGGGGACTTCTTTCCAATAATCTCCCCTCATTTTCCTTTTCAACAGCAAGAGCAGACATTCCATTGAAAGTGGACGTTTCCACATCAGCCATTGCTTTATCCAGTATACCTGCAGATTCCGACAAAGCAGGACTTTTTTCCAATAATCTCTCATTTTCCTTTTTAGCGGCAATAGCTTCAGTGAAACTGGACACTTCCACATCATCGAAATTCAGTTGTTTGGGCTCCACATGCATAGAAGTATCAGCAGGACAGGTGGCTAAAACTTCAAGTCCAACAAAGCCATTGCCATTCGCGTTGGATCCTAAACAGACAGGGTGGACTTCATCTGGTCCTACAGGGACAATTTCAGTTTCCGTAACAGTTGCAACACATCCCTCCAGGTTAGCAGACTGACTGGTGCTGGTACAAGGTAGGCCTTTCACATCAAGACCTGACACATTGCAGCTAATCCTTCCAGAGCTGTTTAACGATTTAGTTTCCAGCTGTTTAGGTGAAGAATTAGAGGCGAACAGGTTGACTCTACGACCCAAACCTTCAGACCTGACAAGTTCTGATGTTATTTCAGCAGTAAAATTAGGCTTCGTTCTTGTATTTCTGCCAACACTCTCATCTACATTATTTTCCCCATCTGAAACATCTGTAGAATTTGCTGCAAACGGTTTTTCTTCCTCCTGAATCGTAAATGCCTTTTCAGCAGATATGTGAGTATTCACATTGGAATATGAAGCCTCCCCCTGTGATCCTTTGCTTTTAGAGATATATCCTTCAGCAGAATCCCTCTTACTTAAATGTTCTGTCCCACTGACCACACACAACTCAAGATTCTCTTGATCAGGTAACAAGCTCACCGGCTTTGACAAATCATAAACAGTGTTGCTTGGCAAACGAGAACTTCTAGATCGTGTTATTCTGCCAGAATAATCCTGAGTTACACGTTTCAAACCAGCACCTTTTTCAACGATATTAGCAGATTTATTGATTTCCCCTCGATCAAGCAGTTGTGCTTGACGTGTTAGACTGCTAGTACCCCTTTCCTTTTGCTTGTCACGAGAACCATCAAGCTCAAATAATTCAGTGACACGGTTATTTTGTTCGGTAGAAAGTTTAGATCTCGTTATCCTCCTGAAGTTGGTGTTGCTTCCTTTCTCTTTGCTTCTCTTATTACCAACTTTTGATTTTGTCTCTCTGCCATTTTGATCATCAATTAGCGAGTTGCTAACTGGTTCCAATGATTGATTCCTGTGGTTAGACTGCTGTATTGACAGGCCAACGGACTCCATAAGCATGGCATCATCCTCCCTCACAACATTAGATGAATCATCCACATTCAAAGAACTCTGTTGCAGGCCCGGGCTTCTAAATCTTGTAACTTCTCTAGAATCTATTCTGCTGCCTTTCTCCTTGCTCCAAGTATCACCTAAGTTTGCATCTTCGACCACACAATTATCATTACTGGTATCAAGAGTTTTAACTGAGTCCATTTCTTCAAGCTGATCAACCTGAAGGAACGGAACCACAGACCCATTATTTCCACGGGAACAACCACTTAAATTATTGTCGTCTCCTAACTGGCATTTATCCACTTTTGCACTGTTACGAAGCTCAAGAGCCCTTTGCCTTGATTTGGATCTATGAAGCCTAGCCAATGATAAAGCTAAATCATGGTTATCGTCAGAGATTCTAGTATCTCTCTGGTCCTGAGGAGAAGGAATACTAGGATCCTCATCTCTCTGATCTTGAGGGACTGTAATGCAATGATCCAACGTAGAAACACCAACTGAGGCACACCCAACATCACTGCATGGATTGTCTCCTTCGTTGAAAGCTTTATTTTCAGCACGCACTTCTTCTGTGCACAAACCATTTGGCAGCTGCCCGGTAGTAACTTCAGCAACTGGCTTCTCGTACACGAGACAGTGACTATGTAAAAATGGGATCGCGGGCCGTTGTTGCCGTGATAAAAGAACTTCTGAAATGAGATCTTCAGCATTCAACTCTAATATGAACAAAAAATTTGTTGATGATGTCAGTTCTTTACCCATAGAAAATAAAAAAAAAAAATGATAAATTTAATAAGAAAATGACAAATTTATTACTCAATTCAATGCAAGACACTATATTAGGGATATAAACTGCGAATTTCATTTCAAATTAAAAACCAAGCCCATAACAACATTTAGCCAAGTCTCTGAACCAATCACAAAACTGCAAAAGACCAAAAGCTTCAATTTTGCTTGTCTAGTCTCTTAGCAACCGAAGCAGGGAAACGGAAAATTCTCAATTTCCCTAAATTATGCCAAAAAAAGCAAAAACTTGACCTAAAGTTAAACCCTAGGCTTAGTTTTTCCGCCCTAACCACACGAGGAACTTCAAAATGCGCGAACCAAATGGAAATGGAAGTAAACAAATACGGAACTTGAAATCGCAAGAAATGGCGGAGGTGCGGAATTACCGGCGGGATCGGAGGTCCGGGAGGGGAGGTCGGAGGTCAACAGCCATGGAGGAGGGGCAATTCCGTCAATGAGGAGTTTGGAGGCGAGGTGGTGATCGAAGAGATGAATCTGTTGCTTGACGTGTTCGAGGATCCGGGACTTCTTCTCGAAGATCTGAATCATCAGCTTCTCAATCGTCGTCATCTTCACTCTCTCCGCTGCCGCCATGGATTTGCAGAATCCTAGAGAGAGAGAGAAG